AACCCCATTAGAAGAAAGTTTATCACCATAGCAGTTTCATTTGAAATTTATCTTAGCTAAGGAACTCATTTCAACCAAGTTACTGCAAAGCTCAAGCTTTTCTTTGATAAGTGTCTTAGTCAACATATTTGTTATATTCTTATCAGTATAGACTTTCTTCAATAGTATCTATTATTCCTCAATCATTAAATATAATCGATGATATCTAACATCAATGTGCTTCATTCTAGCATGGTACATGGCATTTTTACTCAAATCCAAAGCACTTTGACTATCACAGAATGCCACATACTCTTTCTGATTCATCCCTAATTCAAGAAGAAAATGTTTCATCCAAAGCATTTCTTTACCTGCTTCAGTTGCTATAATATATTCAACTTTTGTAGTTGACCAAACAACACACTTTTAATAACTTAGACTGTCAAGACATAGCTTTTCATATAAAAGTGAACAAATACCTGAAGTAGATTTTCTACCATCAAGATCACCTACCATGTCAATATTAGTAAACCCTTCTAGAACTGATTATGAAACTGCATAACTCTAGCACATTTTTTAGCTACTCCTTAAATATTTAAAAATTCATCTCACTACTTCCAGTGAACCTTTTTTCAGATTAAAAAAAAATTTACTCACTATACCAATTACATGAACAATGTCAGGCTATGTACAAATTATAAAGATATATTAAAAATCAACTGCAGAAGGATAAAAATACTAGATATAGCTAGTTGCTCTTTCTTAGACACCGAACAAGTTTTTTACTCAAATAAAAATGATTAGTAAGTGGACTGCTAACTGATTTAGCATTTTACATATTGAATCTATTAAGCACTCATTCAACATATTTTTTCTGTGACAACCATAACTTTTTAGTTTTTTTATCTCGGATAATGTCCATACCGAGAATCTCTTTTGTTGAACCTAAATCTTTCATATCAAAGGACTTAGACAATTGTTCTTTCAACATACGAATCATACTAGCATTTTATCACACAATTGATATATCATCAATATATAATAAAAGAATAATGAAGTTAGCATAAGAAAATTTTTTGATATATACACAAGGATCTGTTATCGTTCTTTTATAGCTATGGTTCATCATAAAAGAATCAAACTTTTTGTACCACTATCACTGAGCTTGTTTCAAGTCATACAAGTTTTTCTTCAATTTACAAACTAAGTGCTCTCTCCTTTTCACTTCAAAACCTTCAAGCTGATTCATATAAATGTTTTCCTGCAAGTCACCATGCAAAAAAGTAGTTTTAACATCAAGTTGCTCAAGCTTAAGAGTCAAACTAGCTATTAATCCCAGCACCACTCGAATGAAACTTATTTTCACAACTAAAGCAAACATCTCATCAAAATCAATGCCTGATTTTTAAGAAAAAAATTTTACTACTAATCGAGCTTTGTAACTTACTAGTTTGTCACCATTCTTTTTCAACTTGAACACCTATTTATTCTTCAATGGTTTCTTTCCTTTCGAAAGTTTAACAAAATCATAAGTATCATTTTTTTTGCAAGGATTTTATCTCTTCTTTCATTGCTTTTATGCAGTGCTTTCTATCTGAAGTAGCCTATACTTCTTAAAAGCTCTCTAGCTCTCCCTTACTAGTAATTAAAATAAAATTTAAACTTGGATACCTAGTAGATGACCTGCGCTCTCTAGTAGATCTCCTAAGCTAAGATTCTACATCACCTGATACCAAAAATAGCTCCCTCTGCTAAATATTCTAAAATAGAGAGAATTATTTCCCTTGCTCAAAACTGATTGCATATGGCTCATTACTAACTGTAACTGGCTTATTCATATCCCTAAGTTCTATTTCTTACTTATTTTTATCATCTGTGACTCTTTTCTGTAGAACTTCTATCAGTATTGAAACATCACATTCAACAGTAACCTATGTAGTCTTATCATTTTTTCACGGTCTGTTATAATTTTTTTTTCATGAAAGATTACATCTTTACTTTTGATTATTTTTCTCTTCACTGGATCTCATATCCTATAGTCAAATTTTTCATCATCATATCCTACAAATACACACTATGTGACTTTGCTATCAAGCTTTGACCTTTATTTTTTTAACACATGCATGAATGCTTTACACCCAAAAATTTTTAAATGAAAGTATGAAGCATCTTTCTCTATCCACATTCTTTCTAAAATTTCAAAGCCCAAAAGAACTGATGGTGATCTATTAAGCAAATAACAAGCTATGTTGATTACTTCATCCTAGAATGGCTTTGGTAATTTTGTCATCCTCAATATACATCTGATTTTTTTCACAATGGTGTGGTTCATCCTTTTAGCTACACCATTATGCTATAATGTTTCAAGTTTTGTCATCTCATACCTGATCTTATGCTTTGAACAGTACTTTTCAAAGTCTTTGGATGTGTATTCCCTACCATTATTAATCTGAATACACTTTAAGGATAACCTTGTCATCATTTTCACCATGACATAAAATTTTTGAAAATACTGTAATACTTGACTTTTTTTTCAATATATACACCTAAGTTTTATGTGAAGCATCATCAATAAAAATAGCAAAATACCTACTATCACCTAATGACTCAACCTTAATGAACCACATATGTTAAAATATATTAATTTTAATCTTTTTTTTAGAACTCTTATGAAAAGAAACTCTATGATACTTACTAAATAAATAATAATCACATGAATCAAGAAACATATTTTTGGTTAAGGGAATGAGAGACTACCTTATCAAAACTTGTAACCCTTTTTCACTCATGTGTTTCAGTTTCATGTGCCACAAGTTTGCTAAAGTATTATCTTCAATGGCATTTATCTGGTTGTTGTTCAATTGCATCCATGTCTTATACATTATGCAGCATAGTTTTCTCCTTGCAACTATCATAGATCCTTTGAAAAGCTTTTATTGTTTATTCTTTTATGGACTTTCATATCCCTCCTTATCAAAGACATTAATAGTAAGTAAATTCATTATCATATTTAGAATATATCTGATATCCATCAAAGTCAACATGCAGCTTATACTAGTTTGTATAATAATATCATTAATCTCAACAATCTATGACACACTCTTGTTTTTCATCTTGGTGTTATCAAAGTCTCTTGCTTTGTAAGTTGTATGCAACTCTCTCTTAGGAATATAATGATATGCTACTCCTGTGTCAGCTATCCACTCACTGTCGGATTACCAATATGATTACAATCACCATGTATATAAATCAAAGTAATTGAATCACTATCTGAATTCACTGTTGTAACATTGTCATCATCTAAACTCTTACCTTTCTTATCTTTTTACTCTTGCTTCAAGATTTTACAGTGTAATTTTATATGATCTACTTTATCACAATGAAAACACTTCACTTTATCTCTGGACTTGGATCCATGTTTAAACTTACTATGACTTTTTGGTTTTGACCTCTGTTAATGTTTCTACCCCTGTTCTTTATGACAAGAACTTGATTCTCAGGATCTACATCTTTTTGCCTTGTTTCTTCATTAAACATACTATCTTTTATCATTCACAATGTCACCTTATAATCAGGAGCTGAATTAAGAACAGTCACAATTAAAGTATTTCAATTATCTGACAATAAACCTAAAAGAAATAATACATTCATTTCATTATCCATCTTAAGTTCTATAGTAGTCATCCGATTAAATATATCTTAAAAATCACTCAAGTACTCTGTAATAGATCATCTATCCATGTACTGTAAAGTTGTAAGCTTTTTAACAAATATAACTTTATTCATACATGTTTTTTCTCTCAAACAATGTTGCCAATTTTTTTCAAATAGTGTAAGCATCTACTTTCTGAGCTACATGATGAAACACATTGATATTAATCAACTTTTTTATTTTAGCTTGCTTTTTTTTGCCTAACTTCTTTTAGCTTTTATCTTTCATATCTGCTGGTTTAGCCAAATCACCCAATATCGACTCATACAAATTTTTATAGTATAAATGATCTTCTATAATAGGCTTTCAAATTGAATAATTTGATATTATTTATTTTATCATGAAACCTGTATCATCCTCTATAATCTCAAATAAAATTTACTTTTGTCTTGGGCTGCTTTTATATCGATATTTCAAAATAATCATTGCTCTGATACCACTTGTTGGGCTTGAAGCAATAACCACAACAACGCAGAAGCAATATATCACAATAAACCTGCAGTAATAGACAACAATCAACAACACAGAAAAATAAAAGCACACCAAGATTTATGTGAAAAACTCTTTAGTGTAGAGGAAAAAATCACAGGACCATCAAAAAAATCTTCACTATCAAATAATGGATATACAAAGTTGTTGTCTAGCTAAAGCTAGAATTAATCAACAACTAGAGAGATAATTTTGAGAAATCTCACCAAATAGGTGACTTAACAAATACACCCTAGATTTATTCCTAAGAGTTTCAAACCCGATCTTCACCATTTAGAATGTAGAACTCTGAATCATAAACCTGCTGACAAAGTTTCAGCTCAATCGAACCATAGATCGACTTCCATTCTACCAACTCTCACTTCTCCCTTTTCTCTTTTTTTTTGGCTTTTCTTCTTTCTCTTCTTGGTTTGCGACACCACCTTAAAACAGTCCCATCTTTTTTTATTAAGTAATTAGGGCTTTGTGTAAAAAGAAAGACCAAGGCCCATGGCCTTTGATTAGTCCAAACCCAACTACATGGGGCTAGACCCCATTTTCCTAACACAATTGACATATGTGCATGATGATAACAAACAATCGGAATGAAAATGAATTACTATAAATTTGGTGAAATTCATTTAAATTTGCTTTATTCCAAGCATAATCTCACAAATTATGCGATGCATTTATAATAAGATATGAATTTAGATTGTTGGGGTGTTACAAAAATGAAATCTTGTGTGATTTAGCAAGTCTTTGCTATGTTTTATGTACCAAATATATATAACACATATATAACACCAAAACAAAACAGAAAAATCAACTAAGAGATACAAAATGATGAGAGGGCACAAGATCTAATTATATAGATACAAAAGCAGATTTAATTTTTGTAAAATTCATTTATTCCAATGTACTCTTAACATGAAACAGCCTTCTATTTCAGTTCAGAATACATATTCACAAAATTATGCAAAGTAAAATAAAACAAAATACTACTAGTAAATTGTTATGACCCTCTTGATCAATACATCATCTTTTTTGCATTATCATAGTGGTTCAATTATACATGGCTAGTGTACAAGCCAGCAAGGCAAATATAATTGACTTGTAAGCAACCGAACTAGGCATCCTACCATTGTCCTTCCGGAAAAAGAGTGCTTGGTATACAGGCAAGTTGATTGTAACCAAAAGCAAACAGAGGTAAATTTGCAACCCTAATAGGTTCAAAACCTTGGAGCGATCAGCATCGAAGATGACCTTCTTGATTGCCAAAATGCTACCGAACAGATTCAACATTGCAAGTGTTGCTAAAATATCAAACATTGGAGAAGTAGCACCAAACTCTATCAGCTCTTGCTCGTATCTTTTGGAGACGTCATCGTCAGCTACCTTCGCTGTGACGACAAAGGCTGATTGTGTATATCCTAATAGCTTCAAGATGGTGTCAAAGAAGCCAAAGAAGTATGAAGTTGTTCTCTTGAACATCCACATCCTTTGGTCGTTACACCAACCTTGCAATGTACCTCCACACCAAAGGAATTCTCCAAGGCTATATGCTCGGTGCGCGAAGACAGCATATGCAAATGGGAGAACCCAGGGACTTGATGTCTGATTGCCAAATATGGATTATAGTCAGTCATGTGCAAATTCACAAACATCAGTAATCATTTGTTACTTTTAGGCTTCTTTGGTTGGACCTTTTGCCAACTCGATAATATGTAGTTAGGAGCTTCATACCTCAGGAAACAATGAGATGCCTTTAAGCAGGCAAAGGCATGGGACAGAAACATAGTACAACGTAGCCAAGCAGTTTGCAGCCCACAAGTTGTAGGGGCAGTAAGCAAGTCGAAGCCTTAGAGAAATCTTTTTACGTCCATACAACAAGGAGCAGTATCTTGATAGGAAAATTTGTAAGTGACCTTCAGACCATCTCTTATGTTGTACCAGGGTCTGCAATAAGGTTGTTGGAGCAACTCCTAAGAAGCCTTCTCTTTGAGGATTGAAGTATATAGATTTCCAACCTCTACATTGTATACCCAATCCTGTAATTACATCCTCCACGGGGCAGCCATATATCAAACCCATCTGCATCCAAAAACTTATTATTGTGTATGTGTGCATGCACATGCATGTCTGTTTACATGTATGAGAAAGAACATCACGTACCTCTTTTCCCCATAGTGTATTTTGTTCAAAGGTACAGCTTGCAAGAACTTTACATGTTTCTTCTAAAAGGCTTGCACTTTCTTCAACCTTTCTATCATTTAGTCTCTTCCAATCAACCCTACAGTCGTCTTTGTCATATTTCTTTCCGGAAAGAGCCTCTCTCCTGTGAAAGCAGCCAGTGCCAATGTAGCATGGCCCTCCGTTTGCATCAAGTCCCGGAAACTCCTACTTGATTGTTCATATAGCCCAACACAGACAGATTGAAGAAAACAAAATCATCAAGATATCTTCTTTATCAGATCAATTGTCGGTTTTCATTATATTAATTTGAGTAAAATGTTTCTTTTGTGCTTACCTTTTGTGTTACTCGAAAGGAACAAGCATATATGTCATGTTTGGTAAGATTATCGAAATTCTGGGGATACTGTACATAGCCAATCTCATCTCCCTTTTCTTCGTCCATGAAAAAGCACAATGAATCTTTGATTGACTCTGAATTGTTTGAATACATATCGCAATCCAAATTGAGAATAATTGGACCATTACTTATCCTTGATGATACCCTGATCTATTTCACCATAAAAATCATTCAAAAACACATACAAATTAAATTACAAAAAAAAAAAAATTAGCCATTTAGACTTGTGTTATACTTACAAGAGCATTCATGGCTCCAGCTTTGAAATTGTGGTGATACTGGGGTCTTTTCTCTCTTGCCAAATAGACAAGAGTTGGCAGAGGGTTTCCTTCAAAATCCACAGCATTGGAGTCTCTCCCATCAATTAGGATCTAAGAAATTAATTAAAGCACCATTAACCAAGCTTAAGTACTATTGAATAATTAGGAGTTCATGAAATAAATTACTTGAAGAATGGTTTGATGATCACGCTTGCTTGAAACAAAGTCCCATTCACGAAATCCTTTGTGCTGTTTACGAATGTCTTCTGGAATCCGGTTCAACTTTGTGGTCGTTTCAATCCTCATTTTCATCTCCTCATATAGTTTCTGCATAATTGAGGGAAAAAAAAAGATATATATATATATATATATATATATATATCCTCACCTTTTACATCAAAATGCTGGGGCAAAATATTTATGCTTCAAATATTAAAATAAATAATTTTCAAATTTTAAATTTAAAATATTAAATTTACGTCTTATTTTGATATTTTAGAGATTACTAATTTTCATGTTTAATCATTTCATTTTAAATTCATAATTAATTTTTAATTATTCTATTACCATCAAGAACATTCTTTTCCTCTAAAAATTTGATTATGGAATTTCTTTTTCCTATTACAACTTTAAGTTAATGGGTTAGATAAAACCCCAAAATATTTTTCATGCTAAACTCTCGAGTGAATTAAAATTTGATCCAATCAACATGAAAGTAGTGAGTATATTTTTAAAATTTTTTCTTTTTTTTTTCACTAATTACTTTTTGTAAGTTTGTTTGCAAAGAGAATTTAGTGGCATAAAAGTAACTTACTTGAAATTAATTTTTTTAAAAAAATTTTATATTTAATATTTAAAAAGTACAATGATAAAATTCAACCAAATCAAAACATAACGGCAAAATTCAACCTACACATAGTACAATGGTACATTTTTTTAATCCATAAAAATATTATTTCCTTTCCAGATAAGGACATTCAGTTCTTTCAATGAAATTTTTCTTTAAAAAAAGCCATATTCTCTTTATCATTGAACAAAAGTTAATTTCTTACATAAAAATAGTATATATGCTTTAAGTTTTGATGTACACAACTCATTTCGGCAAAACAAAAAGAATATAATTATTTTTTCAACCTTAAGGTCCCAATTACTTTGGACGAATTAGCATGAGACAAACACTGTTTTAGATATGCTTAATGACAGACTTTATTATTTTTTTTTTTATGTAATCAGTCAACAGGCATTATTATAACACTTATTGAAACAAAAAGTTGTTTGTCCCCATTGGCTTTGTTTTTTTCTATTGGCAGCACATGAGGTCTTTAAATACTTAACGGCATTAAATAAAAAGATATTGCAACTTGTACTTCTGTCCTTAATTATTTGTCTCCATTTGACTTTCACTTGATACCAAGACAAAAGGTTTTGATTTTCTGTATTTTACACGAATTTTAAAATATTTTTGATACTATTGATGTTCAAATGCTTTTAAGAAAGACTCCACTTTAAAACATTTCAAAAAAACGAAAAGTGGAAGATGAACGAAAACGAATGAAATAAAGAGAGTTATAAACACATTTTTGGTAGACATTAGATGAAAGTGTACTGAAATTAATTTATTAATTTTTTTTAGAATACAAGTATAAGAGAAATTATAATTATAATCAAATATTACATTTGTATATAAGAAATTATTACATAATCAACTAATAAATTAAAATATAACTAATCAAACTCAATATAAAGTTAAAATCAAATGCACAGAATGAGATTTGAACTTAAATTTAATAACAAATTATAAAAATTGTGAATACCTGGATTAATTCAAATGGTTTTGGGTTCTCTTTTAATAGTTGAAATTTGATTCTAATATTTGTATTTTTTTTTTCAAATTTCTTGAACTTTGACATCATTTATATAAAAATTCCAATATATATAATATATATTATATTTGGTACAAAACAATATTAATAAATATGGAAAGTAATGCGTAATAATTTTTCTTACATAAGCAAGGATGAATAATGATTTACGTTTATATTTGATATATTATTAATGTATAAATTCTGTACATTATCAGTAAATTAAATGATGATAACTCATTAATTAGTGAATATCAACTCTTAAAATAAATGTATATAAATTAAAATAACTTACTCATTAATAAAGTATTATTATCTAATTCATCTTATTAATAAATTATTATCATCTGATTCATTCACAGTATATAAAATTTATACACTTTTTATAATCACTTAGTAGAACTTTTTAGTCCAATTTGGCTGAGTCAAACATCAATTTTGCAGAAAACGGCAGATCAGAAGCAAACATCCAAAAATGCATTATTGATGCAAGTAAGTGCAAGAATTATTGTAAATTACCTTCACTGAAAGCCACTCTTTGATCTTGACAGGATCATCGTCTGGTTCAAAAGCTGTCCTAAAGTAAGCGTCGGGTGCTCTTGATTCGACTTTGAACTCCTTGCAAAAGGGCAGCCATTTCTTTGAGAAAGTTGCAGCCTCTAACATGGCATAGAACGTTAAATCTGACCCTCCGTCGTCTGATAAATAGATGCTTAACTTCTCAGGTGGATAATCATATGCCATCACTGATAACACTGTGTTTATCACCATGCTTGGTGGCTCTATTAATGGATCCGCTGTGCATACAAATATGTCTATGCCTGGTAATTCTTTCTCAAACCTATTATTCCAGATAAATTAGATCTCACATATGAACAACATAGTTTTATAATTTTATAGTAAAATATATGAATGAGATACCTTTGAGAGAGCCTGTTTTTGTAAGGAAAACGGTAGACACAGTTCCATCGACAAACTGTGGTGAGAAACCAATAAAAACTGAACCAAAGCTCAGAAAGAAACAATCCAATCCAACTCCATCTCTCAACTTTTCCTCTCACTGGGAAAAACCTTATCCTATAGACACAAATGAAGCAGATACCCACCAAGATTGAAGCTGCAAACAACCTGAAAAGGATCCGTCCCTTCGCTGGCTTTGTTTCGAACAGTGGAAGGTAATCATTTTTGGCCATTTTTGCCCTCTCTCAAGCTACTGATTTACGATTTCAATGCCGAAGAGTGCATGGAAATGGAAATGAAAGAGCGTGGGATCACACATTATTAATGCTCTGCATTTAATCATCGACGTCACATGAAGTATATAAGGATCGGGTGGGTGAAAGTGCTTTATATGATTTAAAATATCTTAATAGTTAATTTTACAGACTTTGGAGATAAGGAAACGTGTGCACATAGTACTCTTACCTTCTTTTTTTAAAATTTATATTTATATTTTATTTTTGTTTTTTTTATTTTTTATCAAATAAATTTTATATAAAAAATTGATAGAGATAGAAATGACAAATTTGACAGATATTTTATTTCTCCTGATCTATAAGTGCATCTTTTAAAAAAATTCAAAATCGAGTTATTTTTTTTTAAATTAGAGTTGGATTGAAAGAATTTATAGTGCTTTGTCCCATTCAAGATATATATAAAAATATTTTTTATTATTAATTTAATTTTATATTATATTATATTATATTAATAAAATTATTATTTAATGTTTTAATTTAATAAATTCTCATAACACTCATTTAGTATTTTCTTTACCATGTTATTTTTTAATTTTTGATAATTTTTTAAATTAGATAAATTTTATAAAAAAAAATTAATAGAGGTAAGGATGACAAAATAACTCGTATCTATTGATTTCGACTCAACTCAATCTAATAAATGCAATTTGTTGTTTAAAATTCGATATCAAATCAAGTTTTTTTTCTTTTTGAAAATTAGAATTAGAAAGGGATTTAAGGTGTTTCATTTCATCTTAGGTATATATGAATATATTTATCATTTTATTTAATTATAGATGAATTATATTAATAAAATTATTATTTAATTTCTTAATTTAATAAAATATTATATTTATTTATAATTAAGATGTAATTATATTAAAAATAATATTTTTATAAATATTATATTAAATTAAAATTATTAAATTAATTTTTGATCAAATTGAATTGGATATGGGTTATATATATGTGATGGGTTGGGATCAGATACAAATAAATAAAAAAACTTGATATCAAGTTGAAATAATAGTCAAGTTAAAGTCGGAGTAAGCATAAATTTACCCCAACCCGACTTATTATCATTCTTAAATAGAGGTGTTTATATATAAACTTATTATTTTGGGTTTTATCCTTTTTTTCTTATACTTTTTTTTATTGTCAATTTTAATTTTTTTATTTATATTTCAAAAAATAAATGCCCAATTAAAGTGTTCGTGTGTTACCCCCATTTAACATTTTTAGTCATTTTTTTTAGTTTTTACTTTTTTTTGTTTTTCAATAAAATAAATTTTGCAATAAATGGAGTTAATGGAGATAGGTAAGGAAAAGTATTTGGTTGATTCGGTTTATTCGATTGTAAAAAATCAAAAAATCGATTAAATCGATTTAATTTATAAAAAAATTGAACTGACCAATTAATGAAATGAAAATCAAAATTAATCGAACCAACTTAAGTCGGTCGATTATTCCATTTTTTTGGATTTTTTGGTTTTTCTTCTATTCCTATCAAACTATACTAAAGAATACTTTCATTTTGAAAATCATATAACTATTACTAGACTTTTAGCATATAGTTAGCTCACATAACTACAGATGGATAGCTTATACAACTTTTTCTCTTGTTTTTGGACTTACTTTTGTGATTAGTCCACCGTTCATGTATAAAGGAGTTAAACATTGAATTCAAGTTGTTAGGACCACAAATTCTTTGGCTTAGATATCAACATCATCATCAAATAAACGAGGGAAACAAAAACTCATTTTTTATTCTATTGTTCACAGAAAATACAAAAGGCAAAAGCAATAGACCTTTGATAAATTTTTAAGCCTTCAAGGTCTGATGGAGTAGTGGAGTTGTCAATGGTTATGCCAAACTTACAGAGATGTGGTGAACTAGAGGCAAGCGAAGTGTGAGACGAAGTGTTGAAGAGACCGAAAGGCAGAGTGTAATGAAAGCTTGAGCTTGAGAGGTCAAGAGTCGACTGATGAGAGGCAGATTGGTGTTTGGTGGAGAGCCAAAGAAGGGTCGAGAGAGGGGGTCAACAATTAGAGGTGTGAAGACTGAAGAAATGTCTCAAAATATTAAGGACTTGTAGAGAGTGGCTAGGGTTGTTTCTTTTCAGTTTTATCAATTTGATAAAATAAGTAAAAATAGAAAGTAAAAAGGTAAAAAGATAAAAAAAAAAAAAAGATCAAACTTTTCGATCGGTTCGGGTTTCTAAAATTAACATTGAGAACTAATCGTATAAACCGTCTAAACTAAGCCTTAACCGAAATATTCATAAAAATCGATGAACCCACCCCGATCAATCAATAAGGACAGTTTTAATCAATTTTGTTGATTGAAACCGACAATTGCTTAGCTTTAAAGGTAGGGATGATAAAACAATTAGTATGTTATGGTTTTCACTTGTTGATTTAATAGGAATAATTTTTTAATCAAAATTAGATCGAGAAAGAACAATTTTATATATTATATTAATAAAGTTATTATTTAATATATTTATTTAAAATATTACATTTATATATAATTAAAATGTAATTTAGATTAAAAATAATATTTTTATAAATATTATATTATTAAATTAATTTTTTGTCAAATCAAATTGAATGCAAGTTATACATATACATATATATATATATGTCGGATTAAAATTGAATATAAAAAATAATAATTTGGTATCAAGTCAAAGTGGGCATAAATATAAATTAAACCTTACTAAATCCGTTATCATCCCTAAGTGAAAGTATCACGCAGTATTCTTATTTAGCTTTCTTTCTTGCTTTTTTTCTTTTGGTTTGGTTGGGCTTAATTTTAGTTTTCACTTTCTTTTCTTATTTTTCATTTGTCCTTTTTTAATTTTTTAACTGTACTTGAAAAGGTAAATTTAAAAGAATAGATTTGTATTTGATTCATTTTATAAATTATGAAAATAAAATGCTTATTAATAATAAATTAATTGATAAATATTCATTAATTATTGTTTTTATTAAAAAATTATAAATAAAATTATATTCATTGACATATTAAATTCAATATTATTAATTAAAAAAAATTTTTAATTCACAGCAACGGGCTAGTATGTGTCTAGTATAAAAAATTGTCAAATAATGTATGGTGTTGATAAATTTGTCGGAATATGTGATTTTGAGCTGGTGTTGATTAATCAGGCTTACATTTTTAAAGACGATATTACGTACGATATCTTTTAAAGTTATTTACAAATTTCTTGTTGATAACAAATAAAATTATTGGGTTTGGTCTTATATGTCCTTTAATTCATATATCACTTCACTTTCCAAATTCCAATAAATTAATGAATTATCTAGATCATAATTGGCTATGTTTAGTTACTTTCTTGTGTATGAACAGTAGCTATCATGAAAAATTGTACTTATCATATGCAATGAGTTAATTTTTTTTCATAATTATAAAAAATCTATAAATTTAAATTAAATAATTATCTAAATTCTTATAATTTATTATAATAATTAAATTCTCAAATATTTATTTTTATCAATTAAGTTTTAATTAAGCAAAAATTAATTATTGTCAACATTTTTTTTCGTTCAATCGATAATTTAATTTGGACAAAAATAGATATTTAAATATTTAAATAAAGTAAATAAAAATAAATATTTAAAGATTAATTAAATAAAGATAATGTTTGAGGCTCAGTTTATTATAATAAACGATAAGAACTTGAATAATTATTTAATTTTTATTTAATAGATTTTATATATTTAACCTCATTTTTTATGCTTATATATAAGATCAGAAATTAAAATCAATTCCGCAGCTAACTCTCATAGGTGCATGAATCTCCCCTCAAAGAATTAGGTTCAGACCCTACTATT